AGAAGAAGCTTGATGGAAGTGTTGCACCTGTGATTAAGAGTTTGATGGTTACTAGTGCTGAATCAACAAGAAGTCTTCAAGGAGACAACTCTAAGAGAGGTAAGGCTCCCCAGCCAATCAGGAACATCAAAGCTAAGGGAAGGCGCTCTGTTTGCAAGAAGTGTGGATGTGACCACCCCGGCGTGGACTGCTTTGGGAAACCGGTAGAGTGCTTTGCTTGTGGCAAGAAAGGTCACCGGTCCTTTGAGTGCAGGACTAAGAGGAAGACTTCAGCGGACTCAAAACCAGTTGGTAGTGTGAGACCCCGGTCAGGAAGCAAGTCTCGAAGTGGAAGCAACAATGGACTAAGTGGAAGTAGCATCCAAGACCTGTGTACGAAGTCGGGACCGCGGCAAGGCAAGATCCGCAGTCGTGAGACAGATGCATTTGCGAACCGTTGAAGTAAGCTCTTGTACCCTTTTGTTGCACCTTCCTTTGTCTTTGTGTCCTTCCTTGCGTGTAGCTTCGGGTGTTAGCTTGTTCAAGAGTCACCCTTAACTCTCTTTAATCTTTTCTTTCCCCTAGAAAAACCCAATCATCTTTTGTCATGTAATTCTTTTCTCCCAAACCTTGTTCTCGTTTTCGGTCCACACCATCTTGTGCAAGACGACAACGACATCAGCTTATGAAGAAATCTGGCAAAGTCTAAGAGTTAAGTCGTGACAGAGTCGAAGTTGAGAGCCTCTAGTTCGACAAGCGTAGGGATTGAAGCGTCAAGCCGAAGTTTTGCCGAATGTCGGGAACCCTTTTCACCTCTTGAAGTCGATCTTCTTTCCTTACCCTCGTCAAACCCGTTGCCCTTTCTCGAGAAATCCGTCCTAACTCTTCGAATCCTGTTCTTGTTTCCTTCTTGATTTGATTCTGTACAAGGTGACAACCTCGTTTTCCTATGTTGTAACCTTGAAAGTCTTGATTCCCTTCCTAATCAGCGCTATTCGTGAGTTTTAATCGGATACCCTCTGTGAGGAAATTCTTTTTAACTCCCTTAAACCTCGTTTTGATTCCTTACTTCATAAGTTGTAGCCCTGTTTACCTTTCTTCTCGTCTTAACCAATGTGATCTTCGAGCTTTCAAATCTAAACCTATAACTCTTCCGTTGGGAAATCCTTATCCATCCTCTTAAACCTCGTCCTTGTATTCCTCACTTAAAACGATTCTGTGCAAGGTGGCAACCTTATTTCCTAAGTTGCAACTTTGATGAGTCTGGTCCTATTCCTATAACATGGTCCTCGAGTTTCTGAACTTAAACCCTTCACTCTAATCCATTCCTTCGAACCGCACCTCTTCTTGTGAGCCTCTTTTCCTTGAGTTACCTCCCTCCTTTGTTACCGTTCCCGTTTTGGACTTGTCGCCTGAACAGGAAGTTTTTAAGTTTCAAGCGTTGCTTTGTAGAGAGTTTGAAGTTGTATGCTAATGCAAGTGTTAAGTCGGCAGCCTGCATCAAGTTAGCCCAAGAGCCGGAAAGAAGGACGTCCTGCTCGTGTTTAGGAGCTTGCAGTTGCAGCCTTTGTCTGGAAATGACGGATTAAGTTCAAGTGGATGCCGAGCTCAAGTTGTGTCGTGTGTGGACCTTGCTTCCCTTGGTTGAAGGAGTCAGCGAAGAGCAGTTGAAGACGCAAACCTGGTTCTTTGACTCCGACTGATCTAGCTTAGGGTTCTTGTGGTGCCAGTTTCTTTTTGTAGCTTGTTCCTTAGCTTGTTGTTATCTTTTAGTTGTTGTCACCGTTTGCTAGTTGCTTGTTGTTTGCCTTGTGTGTTCGTTTTTGCTTGCTTGTTTGGTTGAGTGGTTAGTTTTGTTGCTTACCCTAGGAGCTAGTCGTTTAGATCCTTGGTGTTGGATAGAAGTTTGGTGGTTGTGTTGGTCTAGAGTTTGATATGCTCAGTATCTCCATTGGATAATTCTTTCAATCCTTGCAATGATATGACTTCTTACCTGCTTTTAGTACCTTTTGAATCCTTCAAGTTTGACCAAAAGGATGTTCTTGACACTCTTGTCACAATGTTGTTTCTTTTACCGTCTTTGCTTTGGTTCATCGTACCCGAGCTTCGGGGACGAATCTTCTTTTAAGGGGGAGAGGATGCGACACCCCGTAAGTCCGGATTCTATTTAGGGGTTAATTAAGTAATTAATCCTAATCCAATTGGTAATTTAATTCTTTAAATTCCTGAAAATTGAATAGTCAGGGACTAGTATTAGACTAGTCAACCAAAGTCAAGGTGTAACACCCTCGTTTTCATAATCAAATTTTCCTTACAATTATACTTTCTTAATTGAAAAAAATTCACTAATTACATAGCGGAAGCATTAACTAACCAAAAGAAATGGGTGTTACCGCCACGCTCAGGTATCTCTCTTATACCCAAACGCTAAGGCTAATAATACAACTTCAATAAACAACTCTAAATATGTATTAGTACAAAAACAACTAACAATTCAAATGTCTAACTAATACATGATATATCTAGGTGGTTCGCTCATTCTCATGCCCAATGCTCATGCAAGAGTTCCTGCAAAAACAATTAAAGAACAGAAAACAAAGAAACACACAAATTCAGCATTAAGCTTGTAAGATCTACTTCACCCCGTAAAACATTTTGCACATAGTACATAAGAGCAGATAATTGGCATAAAGCGTAGACCCTTTAAACATTTAATCTTTTATCATCAATAGAGCATAATCATATAGAACATAACTCAAATATGAAATACTCAGAATTTCCAACAACCATAATTTCCCAACAGTACTAATAATTTTTAATACCAAATCAGTAGTTCTCACAATGGATATTTTAGGAACCTTTCAAAAGTAATATATTTATTCCAACATGGAGGAACACCAATTCCAACATAATGGGCAGGGTCTTGTTTCATCAAGCCCTAGTGAACAGAAAACACTCTACTGGACACTACACAAAATCCCATTCAATCTCAAATAATGGGCAGGGTCTTAATTATTTAAGCCCTAGTGAACAGTAATTCTCTTTACTGAACACTACTCAAAAATCTCATTTAAACCAACCAAATAATGGGCAGGGTGTTATTCAATAAGCCCTAGTGAACAGAAATAAATCTACTGAACACTATGCAAAAATCCCAATAAAGTGGAACAGAACTAATACCTTAAGTGTGCACACCCCCAATGGATTTCCAAGCCCAATGGGTAGTAACTAGTCCTAGTAGCCAGGATACGTTTCTACTGACTACTACTCAACAGGGTAAATACCCTAGTGGTAGACTCCGCTAACCACTCCTCAAAACAACAGGACTAAATGTCCTAGTGAGACAGGATATGTTTCTACTGCTCACTCCACAAAACAACAGAGAGTTTTTAAGCTCCCTAGTGAGTCGGTATATTCAACCCCTCACTCCACAACAAATTGGGTCATAACCCAAGTATCCAGAATTTCACAACAGGATACTACACAAGTCTTAAGAATAAATTTCCTTTATCCTCAATCTTTATAAAATTGACAACATTACTGATATTTCTCAAGCAAACAAATTCTCAACACCTCAAATAAGGAACTGACAGAAATTTTCAGACTATATTGCAAAATTTATAGAAATATATTAGTAACACATTTTCAAATGAAATTTTCCAGATACAAGGTACAGTGAGTCTAGATTATACAAAAAAAATTTCAAATAAATCCAAGGTCTAAAAGTATTTTTCCCGAATTATTTCCCAACACTGCGCCAGACAGAAATTGAACTGGCAGCACACTGCCTCTACCTTACGAATTTTTTTAGGAAAAATCGAAACATATTTTTAACCAAAACTTTTTACAAACATCAATTATAACAAGTCTAGGTTCTCCATAAAAACATTCAAGCAAAAAAAAGTTTAGGAAGCATTTTTCACGAATTTTTCTTTCCAGCTGCGCCAGTCAGAATTTTCACAGGCAATAATCAGATTGAGTAAAAAATTTTCCTTTTTAATCACCACAAAATCACCATATCACATATGCAGGGTTTTCAACACATCTAAACTGAGTAAACTCATATATCTATCCACATAATATAACCAAATCACTTACAACCCTAAATATCATCAATTTTTTCAAAATCATGAATCACATAAACAATTAGAAAAATCAATTTTTGATTTGGGGTAAAAGGATTTTAGTGAACATAAATCTTACCCGGGCTAATTAAAAGTTGAAATACTCAGTGCACATCCGAAACACCTATACTCATCGACCCTCGTCTGCGAGCTATAATTGATGATGATGACCGGACTATGTTGATGAAGGAGGAGACTAACATTTAATTTGTTTTTATTCTTTCTTCTATTTGGCGAGAAGATGATCGGTGAGAATTGATAGAGGAAAATATTCAGGATAAGAAAAATACATAATCAGATTAGAGTTATAGCAAGATTAAGATTATAGGTATATATGGGATTAGAGTTGTGTAACAGAAAGAAACATATTAAATGGGATTAGGATGATTATGAGGAGGATTAGATTACATACTTATTATATATAGCAAAACAGTGTGTACTAACATATTTAATATATATGTATATCCGTAACACATTAACATATATATCATATGTTTGCATAAATAATATATGTTTATTTATAAGCATAAGTATATATCATTGAAAAATATATTGATTAAATAATTTCAAAAATATTTTTGGGTCACATAATATATAATAAAATAATTTAATAGTAGGCTAACATAATTTTGGATCATTCAAATTAATTTCGGAGAGTATTAAATCAACATAATATTATAAAAAAAATAACGGGGTATCACACTCTACCCTCCTTAAAAGATGCTTCGTCCCCGAAGCATAACCATAAGGCAACAAGGAATAACAGAGACTTGACCAATAGGGAACTGAAGAGACTCAAACTTAACTTCAATACACCACAAAGATAGGTATCACTGTAACACCCCCATTTTCAATACTAAATTTTCCTTAATTTTTATTTCTTTCTTAATTGCAAATTTACAAAATCATAGCGGAAGCATTAACTAACCAAAAGAAAATGGGTGTTACCGCCACGCTCAGGTATCTCTCCTATACTCTCCTATACCCGAATGCTAAGGCTAATAATACAACTTAAATTCAATAATCCAAATTCAATTTAATACATAAACTGCAAATAACATTACATTCATTTACTCTCAAAATATCAAATCTCCAATGAGTCAATTTAATTCCTGCTCAACTTGAATTCATCTCAAATTCCTTTATCCATGTTCACCTGTAAAAATAATTTTGACACAAAAAGATAGAGAATAGACAAAAATTAGCATAAGCTAAGTAAGTTCCATTTCACCCCGTAAAATAGAGGCTTGGATTTTATATTTCAAAAGCTCATATAATTTTATTCTTTTCCAAAATACATGTGGAGTTATACTTTTCCTTGTATAAAGAATTAATATTTATAAATGGAGAATTAACAAACCTCATCAAAATCCACTTAGAATCTGGACTAAAACCTATGTGCACACCCCCAGAGGATCATGATCCAAGTAGTCAGGTTATCCTACCTACTACCACTCAAACAGTTTGGAAACTGGATCATAACCTATGAGTTACACCCTCATGGGATTCCAAGCCCAATGAGTGGTAATTAGTCCTAGTGAACAGTACTCACATTTACTGAACACCACACTGTACATTATTTTCTCAAAGTTTCACTATTTCTCCACAGATAAATACTTTTCTCCAAAATATACAATTTCTCTATAATACATTTTTCTCAAAATATACAATTTCCTTCAAAATACATTTTCTCCACATGATTTGTCCAAAATCATTTTTACTCAACAATATAAAGGTAATACAAATTTCACCACGTGTATATACACCAAAATTTTCCAAGCCAACGATTTACACACACAGGGCTCGACACGTCGAAGCCCATCCTCGATATTTCGAGAACCACCATACACAACAATTAAATTTACCGATAAATTTACTTGTGTTCACATTAATAGCATATATCACACAAAATATCAATACATACAGTACTCGGGGAAAAATGATAGTTTTGATGAACATGAAATCTTACTTCAAAGTCCAAAACTCTTATCAACACTTGATCCTAATTTCCGTAATAGAGAACCTGTGAATCAGTTAAACCTAATTTATATACTGTAACTATTATTATTGTTAAGCTTATTTTCCGCAAGCATCAATATAACCTCTAATTAGCATACCATTTCATCATTTCGTCATTATCATTAGTATGCCATCATCATTTAATCATTACTCACATCATCATCAGAATATCATTATTCTTCATTTCTTAATAAAATTGAACCAGACAACTAGTTCATCATCATCACCCTAATCGTCCAGAACATTCTCATCATCAACATCATCATTCCACACAATCATTATAATACTATTAACAATCATACCCTTATCATCATCATTCTGAATAACTCAAAATTAAATAATAACATCACCTGATCATACCATCATTATTTCACAGTCATTACACATCATATCCATCCACACCACTCATCCTCATCTGCTAATCATCATCGACAACTTCTTCATAAATCTCCGCCGTATGTCCACACTAAGGGTTGGTCCGATTCGTCCGAAAAAGGGAAAAGGAAGAGTGGGTCGGCTAAAGGTGTTTAAGAGAATGGAAGAAATCATGGAGTACTTCTCTGTATATGGATATATATATTGTATACATGTATACATCTGGATGGAAGGAGAGAGATGGCCGAAAAAAAAGAGATGATGAAGATGGCTGCACGTTTGGATCCCTAACTTATAGGGTTAGGAATATGATTAGTAACTGTAAAATGATTATGATAACTTATATAAATATATATGGATAGACATTAGCCATGAATTAAGGTAATAATAATAATATATATTTAAATTAGATAATAATATATACTTTGGTAAGTATATAATGTACATTCATTATATACGTATCACATTATTATTAATTTATAACAATAATAATAATAAAGTATAGCATATATATCTATTAAATTTAGAAAATTAGTAGGCTCAATATAATAATATTTAAACGTAACATAGGTTTAGGATGATATAGGGTCAAATTTGGAGCACGAGAATTTAATAAAATTAACTCCGTACGCACATACAGTCCTCGTATAATCCCCAGAAAATATGGGGTATGACAATCACATTCTCCCATACTAAGAAATAAAGTTACGTCCCCGTAACTTTCAAGCAAGTGCTTACCCAAGTTATATACAAATTAACTATCAAAATAATCCAACGATCACCATTAAGAAAAAGTAAGCAAATAGATAGCCAAATAAAATCACCAAGTTTCAAAAATATTTTATTAAATAACATATTAAAGTAATGCTCAATGATCAAATAAATGTCCAACTATATGCAATATCACACATCCTCGCGCTTTCAAAATTATAAATTCCTATCCAATTTTATTCCTAAGGTCATAAACTTAGGCTCTTATGCTCCCAAAGGTTCGTACGGCTCTGATACCAACTTGTAACACCCTCGTTTTCATAATCAAATTTTCCTTACAATTATACTTTCTTAATTGAAAAAAATTCACTAATTACATAGCGGAAGCATTAACTAACCAAAAGAAATGGGTGTTACCGCCACGCTCAGGTATCTCTCTTATACCCAAACGCTAAGGCTAATAATACAACTTCAATAAACAACTCTAAATATGTATTAGTACAAAAACAACTAACAATTCAAATGTCTAACTAATACATGATATATCTAGGTGGTTCGCTCATTCTCATGCCCAATGCTCATGCAAGAGTTCCTGCAAAAACAATTAAAGAACAGAAAACAAAGAAACACACAAATTCAGCATTAAGCTTGTAAGATCTACTTCACCCCGTAAAACATTTTGCACATAGTACATAAGAACAGATAATTGGCATAAAGCATAGACCCTTTAAACATTTAATCTTTTATCATCAATAGAGCATAATCATATAGAACATAACTCAAATATGAAATACTCATAATTTCCAACAACCATAATTTCCCAACAATACTAATAATTTTTAATACCAAATCAGTAGTTCTCACAATGGATATTTTAGGAACCTTTCAAAAGTAATATATTTATTCCAACATGGAGGAACACCAATTCCAACATAATGGGCAGGGTCTTGTTTCATCAAGCCCTAGTGAACAGAAAACACTCTACTGGACACTACACAAAATCCATTCAATTTCAAATAATGGGCAGGGTCTTAATTATTTAAGCCCTAGTGAACAGTAATTCTCTTTACTGAACACTACTCGAAAATCTCATTTAAACCAACCAAATAATGGGCAGGGTCTTATTCAATAAGCCCTAGTGAACAGTAATAAATCTACTGAACACTACGCAAAAATCCCAATAAAGTGGAACAGAACTAAAACCTTAAGTGCGCACACCCCCAATGGGTTTCCAAGCCCAATGGGTAGTAACTAGTCCTAGTAGCCAGGATACGTTTCTACTGACTACTATTCAACAGGGTAAATACCCTAGTGGTAGACTCCGCTAACCACTCCTCAAAACAACAGGACTAAATGTCCTAGTGAGTCAGGATATGTTTCTACTGCTCACTCCACAAAACAACAGAGAGTTTTTAAGCTCCCTAGTGAGTCGGTATATTCAACCGCTCACTCCACAACAAACTGGGTCATAACCCAAGTATCCAGAATTTCACAACAGGATACTACACAAGTCTTAAGAATAAATTTCCTTTATCCTCAATCTTTATAAAATTGACAACACTACTGATATTTCTCAAGCAAACAAATTCTCAACACCTCAAATAAGGAACTGACAGAAATTTTCAAACTATATTTCAAAATTTATAGAAATATATTGGTAACACATTTTCAGATGAAATTTTCCAGATACAAGGTACAGTGAGTCTAGATTATACAAAAAAAAATTCAAATAAATCCAAGGTCTAAAAGTATTTTTCCCGAATTATTTCCCAACACTACGCCAGACAGAAATTGAACTGGCAGCACACTGCCTCCACCTTACGAATTTTTTTAGGAAAAATCGAAACATATTTTTAACCAAAACTTTTTACAAACATCAACTATAACAAGTCTAGGTTCTCCATAAAAACATTCAAGCAAAAACAAGTTTAGGAAGCATTTTTCATGAATTTTTCTTTCCAGCTGCGCCAGTCAGAATTTTCACAGACAATAATCAGATTGAGTAAAAAAATTTCCTTTTTAATCACCACAAAATCACCATATCACATATGCAGGGTTTTCAACACATCTAAACTGAGTAAACTCATATATCTATCCACATAATATAACGAAATCACTTACAACCCTAAATATCATCAATTTTTTCAAAATCATGAATCACATAAACAATTAGAAAAATCAATTATTGATTTAGGGTAAAAGGATTTTAGTGAACATAAATCTTACCCGGGCTAATTAAAAGTTGAAATACTCAGTGCACATCCGAAACACCTATACTCATCGACCCTCGTCTGCGAGCTATAATTGATGATGATGATCGGACTATGTTGATGAAGGAGGAGACTAACATTTAATTTGTTTTTATTATTTCTTCTATTTGGCGAGAAGATGATCGGTGAGAATTGATAGAGGAAAATATTCAGGATAAGAAAAATACATAATCAGATTAGAGTTATAGCAAGATTAAGATTATAGGTATATATGGGATTAGAGTTGTGTAACAGAAAGAAACATATTAAATGGGATTAGGATGATTATGAGGAGGATTAGATTACATACTTATTATATATAGCAAAACAGTGTGTACTAACATATTTAATATATATGTATATCCGTAACACATTAACATATATATCATATGTTTGCATAAATAATATATGTTTATTTATAAGCATAAGTATATATCATTGAAAAATATATTGATTAAATAATTTCAAAAATATTTTTGGGTCACATAATATATAATAAAATAATTTAATAGTAGGCTAACATAATTTTGGATCATTCAAATTAATATCGGAGAGTATTAAATCAACATAATATTATAAAAAAAAATAACGGGGTATCACACAAGGTGTTGTATCTAAAGCTTTAAGGATAGTTCCCTTGTTCCCTTACACTTCTTCATTTTAGTAAGGGTAATGAAGAAATTTCACCTCATGTTAGTATTGCAAGCTAACCTAGAAGACACCCTTCATTCTTTCCCTTACACTTTCTAAACATAAGCTCCTCCTTCTCTCTAAAAGTTAGATAGCTTTTCTTCCAAGCCAAGTTGAGGATTTACAAGATCTTCAAAGTTTGTCTCCAAGATTCCACCTTTCCTACTCTTGAGCATCTAGGAGGGTAAGATCTATGTTTCTTTTGTGTTTTTAGTGTTTTCTAAGGTGTCTTTTCTTAAAGATGAAATCTTTATGATCTTTTGGTGTGTTCTTGAAGTGGCTGTTGAAGGTGAACCTTGTTAGGGGCTTTGAGAAGTGTTAAGTGAAGGTTTTTGTCTACAAGAGGTAACCCATGCTCTACAAAATCTATTTTGCTTACCTATATGATGATTTATTGGATTCTACATGTGATTTTGCTATGAAATGTGAGTGTTGATGCATTGTCTTGTGAAAATGCATATCTAGAGCTTGTTATTAGGGTTCTTGTATGACATTGCTGGGCTATTCCTTTGATTCAAGTCATTTTGTTGTATTTGGTGAGATTTGGCATGTTTTGGACTTGAATTTGAGCTTGGTGTTGAAAATCCCCGAAGGGATAATTTGTGGTACAGAGGTGTACCCGCGGGCAGTGGCCTACCCGCCGCCCACCCGTGGGGAACGTTGGTCGTGGGAAGTGGTTCCCGCGGGTCCTGGAGGTTAAGGTTGGAACTAGACATAAGGTTGGGGTAGCCATAAGGTTGGAACCGGGCATGAGGAAGGCATATCAATTCGTGATGGGTGATGTCATGAAGGCATGTGTTGCCATTGTTGTGTATTTCTCTATTTGTGACATGTGTTGTCACAAAGGCATCTGTTGCCAAGGCATGAGTTGCCAATGTGTGTGTCCTTATTCTCTTGAATTATGCATGTCGGGTGATATTCTACTGTGTGATGGTAGAATATGCCTTGAGTCGTTATTGCTTCTTGATGTCTTAGGATGTGTTTGATACCCTGGTTATTTGAGTATTTTGTTATAAATATTATTATTCTAAATAAAATTTTATAAAATAGATATTATGTTCAATAAAACATTTTTACTATACGGTCTGTAATTATATTATTTTATGTGACCCAAAACTATTTAAACTAGTCTACTACTGTTACTCTTTTTTTTTCTAAACGGTGTATTATAGATAATGATTATTTATTTATATATATGTTACGTATGTATATATGTTAAGTACTAGTAGGCTAATATGTATATTAATATTATATTAAGCTTTTAAGTATTTTAGTTCCCTACAACTAGAATTATTATTTATAATACATTTTATTAGTTAAGTATTTAAGTAGTAGTCTAATTGTTCTCATCCTCATCAGTAGCTGATTCGTTAAATCCTCTCCTCTTGCTAACACAATACCGCCGAATAGAAAGGAAAAACAAAAAAAACAAAAACTTATTCCTCTTTGTCATCGATTCAATCATGATTGGTCTTGTCCCTCTATCATCATCAAATTCTCTCCTTTGTTCACCGTAGGGATTCAAGTGTTAATGTTAATGTTGTAATCCAGGTAAGATTTATGTTCAGTAAAATCCTTTTACCCCAAATCAAAAACTGATTTTACTAATTGTTTATTCTTTTCATGATTTTGAAAATTTGATGATATTTAGTGTGTAAGTTATTTGATCATATTATGGGAGTAGATATGTGATTTAAGTTGTTTTGGAATCCCTGCATATGTGATATATGGTGATTTTAGAGTGTATGAAGGAAGAATTTTTGATTAGTGTAGTCACTGTTTGAGAAAATTCTGACTGGCGCAGCTGGAAATAAAAATTCGTGAAAAATGCTTCCTAAACTTATTTTTGCTTGAAGTTTTTTATGGATAACCTAGACTTGTTATATTTGATTTTTATAAAAAGTTTTGGTTAGAAATATGTTTTGGTTTTTCCAGAAAAATTTCGTAAAGTTGAGGCAGTGTACTGCCAGTTTAATTTCTGTTTGACGCAGTGTTGAGAAATATTTCGGGAAAAATACTTGTAGGCCTTGGATTGACTTAAAAATTTTTGTGTATAATCTAGACTTACTGTACCTATTATCTGAAAAATTTCAAGTGGAAATGTGTTACCAATATTTCTCAGTAAATTTTGCAATTCAGGTCATACCTTCTGAAAATTTCTGTTAGTTCCTTATTTGAGGTGTTGAGAATTTGTTTGCTTGGGAAATATCAGTTATGTTATCATTTTTATAAAGATGGAGGATAAATGAAATTGATTCTTTTTAGTGTTGTGTAGTATCCTATTGTGAAATTCTGGATACTTGGGCTGTGACCCAGTTTGTTGAGGAGTGAACAGTTGAAATATACTGATTCACAAGGGAGCCTAAAAACTCTATGTTATTTTGAGGAGTAAGCAGTAGAAACATATCCTGTCTCACTAGGACTTTTAGTCCTGTTATTTTGAGGAGTGGTTAGCGGAGTCTACCACTAGGGTATTTACCCTGTTGAGTAGTAGTCAGTAGAAACGTATCCTGACTACTAGGACTAGTTAC